GTACAGAGGTTGGAAGGGGCTGGGGCACAGCACCATCAGGGTAGTCTAGGCTCTATTCCTAAGAGTTGCCCATTTGAAAAGACAAGTATCTCTCTACAGTGTTTACCCACAAGAACCTTGAATTTTGTCATGACCACTTAATTATGCTGTAGAATCAGAATTGATTAGTAGTGGACCCGCTAGTGGGTTTTCAGAGGCCATAAATCACAGAAGAGGATATTGTCCATTTGTCTCCCTGAGAGCAGATGGTGGATTCAAACTGCTTGCCTTTCAGTTGACAACCTAACTCCTTAGCTCTAGACCATCCATGTCCCCTGCCATAACCACTGCAGAGGACAATTTTGTTGTTGTTATTATTAGGTACCTTTGAATCTACTCAGCCATATAGTGAGCCTCTGTGGATTTCTAAGAATATTTAGAGTGCAAGCATCTTGACATTTACTAGGATTGACGATCTAAATAACATGCTGTAATTTATGAGGAAAGGCTACTCATTTTTGTCACGCAGAGTGCCTGGTGAATTTGAACTGCCCACCTTTCGTTTTTACTAGTCTTATGCATTACCTGTACTATGTCTCTGGATCTAGAAAACTACCTTAAAGTTAACAAGTTAGATCATACCAACTACAATTTAACTTAAGATTTGAAAATGTTTTATCTTGAAGAAGTCTTTCTGTGTGCCGAAGTAAGTCACTGGATACTATTAAAAGAAATAATAAGTCCCCAAGTATTACTTCTTAACATCATAAGATTAAAAAAAGCAAAAACACCACAAACAAACAAACGTGTACATACAATTTTAACAGTTTGTAAGTGTAAGAGTGTGTGTGTGTGTGTGTGTGTGTGTGTGGTCAAATCAGAGCTGACTGCTATAGGAGGAAATTGTCCCTCCTTCTCCAGCAGATCATCTGGTGGATTTAAACTGCTTGCCTCTGGTATTGCAGTACAGCTTCTTGCCACTAGGCAACAGTTTTAACAGTTTTTATAGGGCTGAGGAGAAAAAACAGAAAATACTCAACAGTGACAGAATACACTTAAATTGTAAGATCCTTAAGATTTACTAGAACTTATGATTCTAAATTCTGTTATTCTTCTTTCTACTTCCAGCATCAGCCTATATTCTCAAAATACATATTAATATATTTGCACAACACCCCTTAAAAACTCTTATCTGATATCAGATGATATAACTGGAACACTCACAAAATGACTAAGAGAAAGAATAAGTAAAGTATGTTACTTTACCTTTGAACCAGTAGAAAAAGAAAACATTGAAAGTAACCCAAGCTGAAAAACATGAGAGGCTCAATTAAAGCTTCAATATTTGCTTTTAGTTTTACAATGAAGTCCCATATAACATCAGTCTCGGTTCAGTCTAGTTGCTTTTGGGTCAGAACCAACTCATATCTGACCCTCCACTGAAGAGATGACTCCTCTTTCTCATTAGCATAGTGAGTGGATTCAGAGGTCCAGAGAGGCCCTGCCTTTGAGGTACCAGTGCAACTCGCTACTGGACTAGACCTCAAAAAATTTCTCTTTTCAGAAGTTTCCTATGCACCACTCTGCTTTTATGATTATTACCTATATTAGCATATTGTAAGATTAGCAGATGCTGAGTCTGACGTCTACCCACTTCATAGAGGGGAACCATCCTTTTCAATAATATCCATAACACCATACAAAAAGCTAGGTGGTCAGGCATGGCCCTGCACCTATTTCTAGGAATCATTGGTTCTAATGTTTGTTGCAACTTGACTCACAGATTTTGCTCACAGTTGTGGGGTTTATTCAGAAAATAGGTTGGGAGATGGGGGATGCAAAGAATATCACATAATGAAAATCAGGCTTAGCCCAGCAGTCTCAATCCAGATTAACAAGGCACCATTCCTCAAAGAGGGAAAGTCCAGGTTCAGTTCAACATCACAAATGAAAAAAAGCCTCTAGTTTCTTCAATCATCCAGCAAATTTTATCTCAGAGCAGTTACAAGTCAGCTTTTCCTTCCATCATCCAGCAAGCAGAACCTTTAAATGTGGCTCCATCTCCGGGTTTCCTCTGGTTACAGCTTGCCAAAGTATCTTCACACTCTCTCCACCACTGTCTCTCACAGTAAGGAAAGTGCTCTCTTATATTGGTTCCACATCTGTTAATGCTTTTCAAGACCATGTGTTCACAGTTAAGGTAGCTGAGACCATGCCCCCAACCGGGGCTAACACAATGTCGTTATTATGTGCTGTCAAGTCACTTGCGATTCACAACAACCCTATGTACCACAGCTCTGAACCCTGCTCTATCTTGAGCCAACATCATTGTCTCTGACACTCCTACCCTCATTGCCCAGTCACTGAGTCAATTAGTCTCATCCAGGGTCTTCATCCTTCTCATCTTGCACTGTCTTTCCACCCTTCCAAGCATGATGTCCCTCTCTAAGAACTGGTTCTTCCTGGCAACATGTGCAAAGTATGTGAGACGAAGCTTCAGAATTCTTGCCTCCATGGAGCAGCCTGGTTTCACCCTCTTCAAGACGAACCTGTTTGCTCTCCTAGTAGTACATGATGTATGCAATATTTTCCAGCACCACAACTCAAAGGTATCAATTCTTCTTCTATCATCCTTAGTCATTGTCCAGCTTTTGCATATCAAGTAATTGTGAAGACCATGGTCCAGACCAAGCACACCTTAGTCTGTAGACTGACATCACTGCTATTCAGTACTCTGGAGAGGTTCCTGACAGCAGATTTTCCCAGTTCCATTTGTCTTTTGATTTTCTGACTGCAGGTGCCAACAGTGTTGATATTGGAAACAAGGAAGCTGAAATTAGTAACAACCTCAATCTCTTCTCCATCTATCATGGCAATGCCAACTGGCCCAGTGGTGAAAATCTTTGTCTTCTGGATGTTGAGTTTCAATCCCTATTGAAGGTTGCAGCCTTTGACCTTCTGCAGCAGTTGACTCAGGTTCTCCTCGGTTTCAGCCTGCAAGGTTGTGTCATGTGCATAATGCAGATTGTCTATGTTCTTTCTTCCTCCAATCCTGATATCACACTCCTCATATAGCCTGGCCTCCCAGATGACCTGTTCCACATATAGATCTAAAATGTAGATTTGAAAGGTACGGAGACCAGGATGCATCTCTGACACACTCCTTTCCTGATTTTGAACCATGCAGTGATGCCCCGCTCTGTTCTGAGGACTGCTCCTTAGTTCAAGTAATAGGTTTTGGATAAGCAGTCAAGTATTCTGAGATTCCCATTTTCCTCAAGGTTAGTCACAATTTGTTGCGATCCACACAGTCAAATGCCTTTGCATAGTCAATGAAACACAGATAAAAATTACTCTGGTACTCTTTCCTCTCAGCCAAGATCAGTGTAACAGGGGCTATAATATCCCTAGCCCTAGTACCATAGCCTCTTCTAAAACTAGCTTGCCCTTCTAGTAGTTCTCTGTTGATGTGCTCTTCCAGTTGTTTTGGGATAATTTTCAGTAGGATTTTGCTTGAATGTGATATTAATGATATTGTTACATAATTTTCACACTCTGGTCACCTTTTTTAGGAATGGAAACACATATGGATCTCTTCAAGTCACTTGGTCAGGTGGTTGTCCTCCAGATTTCTTGGCAATACCTGATGAGCACATCCAGGGCAGGGACTGTTTTTTGAAATATGTCAAACGGTATGCTGTCAATTTCTGGGGCCTTGTTTTTTGCCAGTTTCTTCAGAGCAGCTTGAAATTCTGCCTTCATCACCATAGGCTCTTAACCATATATTGCTTCATGAAATTCTTTCGTGTCAGTCAATTCTTTTTGGTATAGTGACTCTGTACATTCTTTCCATAATCTTTTGATATTTCTGGGTCATTCAACATTCTGCCCACAGCAACCTTAAGTATCTCAACTTGAGACTTGAATTTGTCCTTCAGTTCCTTCAGCTTAAGAAATGCTGAGCAAGTTCAGCCCTTTTGATTTTCTGACTCCAGATCTTTGGACTTTTCATTATAATACTTGCTTGGTCTTTTCAAGCTGCCCTTTGAAATCTTCTGTTCAGCTTCTTAACATCTTTATTTCTTCCCTTTGCTTTAGCTTCTTAGCATTTTTGTACAATATTAGAGTCTCTTGTGACCACATTTTGGCTTTTCTTCATTCTCCATCTTTGTAATGACCTTTTGCATTCTTCCTGGATGATGTTTTTGAAATCCTCAGCTCATTTGCTCTTCTCACATTACAAGGGCTCAAACCTGTTTCTGAGATGGTCTTTAAATTCAGGAGGGATAGACTCAAGTTTAAACTTTGGTTCTTGTGGATTGGATTGGATTTTCTTTATCTTCAGTTTGAACTTTCACATGAGTAGTTGATGATCTGCTCCACAATCAGTACCTGACCTAGTTTTCACAGCTGATATTGAGCAGCTCCAAAAAATATTCCCACCTATATAATCAATCTGAGTTCTGCTTTGCCTGTCAGTTGAGGTCCATGTGTAGAGTTGCCATTTGTGTTTCTTATAAAAGGTATTTACAGTGAATAAATCATTGATTATAGAGAGTTTTCTATCATTCTAGCTCCTGCCTCATTTCTGTTACCAAGTCCAGGTTTCCCAACTATGGATCCTTCTTCCTTATTTCCAACTTTTGCTTTCCAGTCACCCATTAGTAATAATGTATCTTGGTTGCATATTTGATTGATTTCTGATTGCAACAGTTGGCAGAAGTCATCTATTTCCTCTGGTTGTTGGTGCATAAATTTGAATGATAGTGGTATTGACAGGTTTTCCTTGTATGCATATGGATATTATCCTGTCACCCACAACTTTGCTTTTCATGATGAGTCTAGAAATGGTCTTTTTAACTGTGAATGTGACTCCATTTTTTTTTCTCACATTTTCATTTCCAGCATAGTAAGTCATGTGATTATCTGATTCAGAATGTCTCATGCTAATCCATTTCATTTTGCCAATGTCTAGTGTGTCAATATTTATTATTCTGTTTCTCACTTAATAATATCCAATTTTCCTATATTCATACTTCTCGTATTCCAAGTTCCAATCATTAGGGTCTGTTTGCAAATATTCCTCCTCCTTTTTTATTCCTAACATGAAGGGTAAGCCTCCAATTTTCAAGGTTTCTGACACTACATGCAGGTTTTTACTAAAAGGAATCTAAAAAGGATTCTGACTTTTAGGTGGGAAAAGAAGAAAAGTAAAATTGGTGTTCAGGGTTCTCCCCTCCTCACCCCAGCACAGTGTTAAAGAGTTAATGAACTTGTGGAGAAGTGAAAGGGGAATGATACTCAGCATCTCTGCTTCCAGCCATCCTGGATTTCAAATGAGTCTGGAAACATTCTGTCAGTGTAATTTTAGGGTTTTTACGTTATTTAAAGAATGTCTATTAAGTTTTATTTTGGGTCTAGGAATACTCAAACAATCCTCTCACCTAAATTAATGGTAAGTACACCTTTGCCAAAACCAACTCATAGGTGACTGTCCAGCAAGTTTTCAGAGGTAGAAAATTCCATGAGAGGAGACTGTCCATCTTTTACCACAGAGCAAGCTGGTGGATTTGAACTTAAAGTCTTTGAGTTGGCAGTACTACTCCTTACTACTAAACCAACAGAACTCTCTCAAGTTACGGCAGAAAGGGAAAACTGTCATGCCAGCATAAAGGGCGTGGTGGGGGGTGAGGAGTAGCAGGGAAACCAAACCAGATTTCTACACTTTTTTGCATGTATTGTGGTCTTTCCTATTCTTTCAAATTTCACAAAACCAACTGTTATTGTTAATATATCACTGTCCTTGGAGCTAAAGCCAGTAACAACTGCTTTCACAATAGCTGCCTCAGAAAGAGTGATTTGTAATTGACTACTGTGTAGGATTTCAGCTGGAACCAGCAAAGCTCCATTAGCAAAAGATGTGGGGAGAAAATCAATTGAAACTGTATAAGATTTAAAACAGGCACCAACTAGCAACTTACATCCCCACCATATCACGAACCAGACTCTCCTACACAGCCCACTGGCCAGTCATCCTAATCAAGGGGAATGTTTCACAGTTCAAACAGCCGGAGACTCCTCAAAGCTTTTAATTAAAAGTACCTTGTTCAAGGACATAGCAATTTAGAATTTCATCAGCAACAGTGAGATTCCCTCAAACAGAATTTGACCTACATGGTATTGCATACTCAAGAAAGTCAGCAAAGGATCTAATTTATTTATGAACCAAACGAATCCCAAAATGCCAATTATCAAGTCTCTGATTGTTCACTATGAATTTAACAGAGAGAGCGAGAGAAAGAGAAGACAGTGAATAGAGAAATCCACTTTTTCTCATTAAAACATTTCATTTCCTGCAGACCTGATGGGTAAGAAATGATTCAATCTCAGGATCACTATCTTTTTTTATTTTCCTCTATCAGTGTCTTGACATATCATCCAAAATAAAAAAAGCTTGTGGAGTCACAGAGTCTCTTGGTTCATTTTTCACCTTGGGATTATACCTGAATTTCAATTTCCCATTAAGAGTCTGTTTGTTTGATCCCTGGAAATTGAAATGTAGGCACAAGCCTTAGATGAAAAATTAGTCATGCTGCTTTCACCCTAAGCTGGTGCCACTGGATGAGAGCTGAAAGGAAATTTGAAGGGAAAGTTGACAGTTTAACAGCTCATTCTCTTTGAGTCACCTTGGGACTCCCTTTTGGTCAAGGAAATTGTACATCAACTCAGTCTTGAATTTGACTTAAGAAAGTTGCTGAAACCTTAATAGCAAACCCTCTACAGAGGTGATAGAAATATTTTGGATTCAGAAAGGATAATGTCCTCTGTCAGATCTATAGGGAAGGACCAGTTGTATAAAAATTAAAACCCAGTTAGCGCTTCCCCAGTTGAAAACGGGTACTGACAGAATACATTGTGAAGATTGTCCTATAATAGTCTTAGGTGGTCTGTGTGTCGACTTTTTTGTTGACATTAACCAACCCAGGCTCTCTGGGTCCTTCCAGTTTTATCCTGCCTGAAACCACAGTCTTCTGCTCTCCTTTGCTGTGTTTGCCAAAATCTGCTGCCAAGTCAGATCCAACCCATATCAGCACTGTGTGAACTTTCTCATGAGGTGTTCTGGGTTGTAACATTTACAGACTCAAAAGGCAGTTATTTCTGCTGAGGCAATGCTGAGTGGATTTATAGTTCCAACCATCTTGTTAGCAGCAAGGCTCTTAACTGCAACACTGGAGCTTCTTTGCATGTCCATTACCCTGTTTTACGTCCATCCCATCACCTGTATCATACCACATGCTTCGTAGATTATGGGTAATCCAAAAAATTAAGCAGATTAAGCAGTCAGCTACTAACTGAAAGGCCAGACACAGCACAGAGATCTGTTTCCAAAAGGTCAAAGCCTTGAAACCTCCACAAGGCACAATTAATCAGCAATGCACATGATCACTAGGAATCACAGTCATTTCAGCAGCAATTGGCCTTACAAATCATTTCCTTTTTTATTTTGCCTATTCATTCTTCGTGTTTCATCCCTGAAGACTAGGTTCTTAGGTGGTTTTGGGGTGCCATATCTATCCCTAGACCCTAGAAAAACAAATGGCACATAAATTACACTCAGTAGTAGTCATTGGAATGTGAATGAATGAATGAATGAATGAAAATAGGTGGAGTTCTAGAGGGGAATACTGTGCACATCATTTTTTGGTATTTCACAGCTTATTTATCACTATAATTTAAATACTGCAGCTCGCTTTTATAGCAAAAAAACGCCTAAGATTCCTGCTTTATGCTTAAGAGACTCTTCTGAAAAAAAGATATTTTCTTATTGTAAAAACTTTATTCCTGGTACTAAACCAAACCAAAGTCACTGCATTAAGTAGATTCCTACTCAGAGCAACCCTATGGAACACTAAGTAGAACAACCCTGTTGGGTTAACAAGGCTGTGGCCATAACAGAAAGCCTCTGCATCTTCTGCACGTTAATCACTGTACCACCAGGCCTTCTTTAGTCCTGTCACAGATAACATTTATTCTAGAATTTCTTGGATCAAGGCTGCTAAAACAACCACATCTCAGTATGTTCCTAAATTATGTCAAATTTCTGCTGAAGATATTGAAATGAATTTTCTTTTCCACATCACATCCAAAGGTCTTTCTTTCAATTAACCAGAGAGCCATGTTCATATTTATAAGATGTACCTGCCAGAGAATATTGGCTTGCTATAATACGTATTGATTAAATGCACATTCTTGAGAAGAAAAATCTTTCCTATGAAGCTGTTCTGGTTGAGCTGCGTTTGACAATGTCAGTTTTGTGTGCTGTGCTGGCTATTAATGTCATCACAGTAAGGATGACATTTTCCTTTGGGGAAAAGGAAGGAGCTAAAACTGAGGGGGGGAGAGGGGGCGTGTAAATCACCTTTATGCTACCATAGGAATGAATATGAATTTTTAAATTGGACTGTTAAGCAGGGCTTGCCCTTGGTTCGCACTCTCAAAAAGTTAGACACTTTTTATAAGTTATTTATCTTCTCTGAGTCCACTTCTCTGATACAGAAATGATAAAAGATAGCCACTTTACAGGTTATTAGGAGATTATAAATATCATGTGTATAAGTTACTTTTTATAGTAGTTGCTCAACACTATTGCAGTAATAGGAGTAGGGAGATTAGCATGAAGTCCTCTAATATATTTTTGGATGTGTTGAGGGATGATAAAGTATAGCTTTGATAAACAGAGTACATCTTAAAGAACTGTGACAAAATGCAGTTTGGGAACCTCAAGGGAGTCTTCTCTTGATCTGTCATGGTTGGGGGAGCTGGTAATGGGAGGCAATGCCATTGTGACTGTTATGAGATTAGATGCTAAAAACATTTGAAGTTAAATATTTACATTTTGGAACATCTAGAAAGCAGGCCAGGCCTTTCTCAGCAGGCGCTAGCTCTATGCTTGAAGGAACACAAGTACTTTTTCAACTCTGAGCATGTTGGATGCATGAGAAAATGACAGATTGGGGACAGGTCAGAGTGAAAATGTGACCGAGGTAGAGCTAAATGGACTTCTGCAAGTCTCTCTGGGACATAAATTTCTTAAAAGAGAAATATACAACTCTAATTGTGCCTAATCACTGTCCCCTCACATTAAGTCTAGCACTCAGAGCACACACAGTTCCTGTAAAGTGCTCTAAAGGCGACAGGGAGCCAAGGCGAGTATTTTGCATTAGGCAAGAATGTGTAGTCTTCTCTGTGGAGAAATGATAGATGGCCTGAACAAGTGTGTCATTTCCTATTTTGTGCTTTCATTTTTCAGACCAAATTGCACTAAACCACAAAACCATCGTGTGCCCTATGATTGATGTCATTGACCACAATCACTTTGGGTATGAGGCACAAGCGGGGGACGCCATGCGAGGAGCCTTCGACTGGGAAATGTACTACAAAAGAATCCCCATCCCTCCAGAGCTCCAGAGGGCAGACCCCAGCGACCCCTTTGAGTGAGTAGAGGTTCAGGGGAGGGTCCCAGGGAGAGTGGGAGGGTAACTCATTCCAGGTGTGTCAAGCCTAGGAACTCATGAGCACTATAACTGATAAGGTGGAATACAATAGTATACAAAGCACTAGAGAATGGTCAGATTAGCATTTAGTAAAAAATTAAAAGCTGTCCTGAAAACAGAGATTGTCACTTGTCAAAGGTTGCCAATCATTCAGTGTGTAGACTCAAGAAAACGCATCCTTAAGCGAAAGCACATGGAAAAACAATACATACTCACTTTATGAGTCGCAAGCGACTCGACAGCATATAACAACAACAACAACATTTATCTTTCTTTTCTTTTTTGGTTTTATTTTTGGAAATGAATGTAAAACATGAAAAAAAAATACGCAAGAATACACTCTCCACTCATTTGGTAATTGCCATTTCTCATGGGAGGTAATGCTTCTGTAATGTGTTTCAGTAGTATAAATTTGAGTATTTCAGTCAAAATTAAATGGCTAGCAAATTAACTCCATCTTGTACGATGTTAGGACAAGGTTCCGATCTGCTGTTGATAGGGCTTCTATGAGAAGTAATCAACTTGATGGCACTGCACAACAGCAACAGCGCATAATCATGGAGAACCCTTAATTTAAGTACTATGTCTATAGTGGATTAATTTATACAAAACTAAAGCCATTTTTGTCAAATGGACATAAGTATTGTACATATCAAGAAAAGAGGAGGAAAGGGCTATATTTATCAAGCTAAGATTATTAATGGTGAAGTTTCTACAAAACCCACTCTAAAAATTTCCAAAAAAAGATTTATCTATTTCTGTTATTGTTACTTAAAATATTATTTCCTATTGGTTTGCTTAGAAAGTTCATATACATTTTGTTTCATACAATCATTTTCATTCATTATGTCTTATAAAATTAATCACCATTGGAATATGCCCACCATTACCCTGTTTTATAAGGTTTATGTTGGATCTTTTCCATTTGCTTTACCCCCTCCCTCCACACCCACCAAACTGTACAACCCTGTGATTTTGCTTCTACACATCCTCAGCCCTCTGTGCTACCCTTTCCTGCCTTGGATCCTCACACTTGTTTTACTAATTATCTTCTATTTTTACAATAATGGTCTTTTGCAGGAATTGCCCTTATGAAACTGAGTTAGTTCACTCAGAATAGCACTCTCCAGTCTCTTGCATGTTATGTAATATTTTTCAAAATCGTTGCTCCTGAGTGCTACATAGTATTCCATTGTGTGAATACATCAAAATTTCTCAATCTATTTGGTTGTGGTTGGACATTTGGGAAGTTTCCATGTCCTTGCAATGGTGAATAATACTTCTGTGAATATTGGTGCACAAATCTCAATTTATGTTTCAGTTCTAATTTCTGTGGGATACATTACTAGTAGTAGAATAGTGGGGTCATACTGAGGTTCTATGTTCAGCTTTTTGAGGAAAAGCCAAATTGCCTTCCAGTGTGGTTGTTTTGAACTCAGAACATTTATAATTTTAAAACAATTGTATTTCTTAGCACAAGAAAATCTTTTATTTATATTTTCCA